GGAATTCTGGGGATTTGACTATCACAGAGTCATTGATAAGACTCTTCCAAGAGCTTTGAGTGTAACTGGAAAAGGAAATCTCTACGTCTCATATAAAGGTGAGGATGCTTGGGTCATTGTACTGTTGTTCATTGGTTGACGGGATGTGTTGTAGTAGCACATTGTGCTGTGGAAACTTTGTCACCAGAAGTGAACTTAAACAGAAGGCATAGGAATGTTGCAAAGAGGGAAGATGTGGATCGATACTTTCTTTTTTTTTTTGGAGAGGTTTTATTTTATTTTATTTATTTATTTGCTATAGGGCACGTGCACTCCCCAAAAAGACAGAGAGAGACATAGAGACAGGAAGCGAGAAATCACCCCCCGGGGGGATGGCCATGCCGCAATCCCTTCTCCTCCTTTCTCCTCTCGGGATCTTGGGCACGCACACACATGCGCCCGGTGTGAGTTTAAGCCACCGGCTGTGGGACTCGAACCGTGGCCGACCACGTGGGAGTCCAGCGACATAGCCATTATGCTAACTGCTAGTCCCTGGATCGATACCTTCTTCCTGTAGCATCTTCATCTCTGCCCTGAGTATTAAGTATACCGTACCTGGGATAGACAAGTCCCCCTCCCACCACTCACCTGTTTTCCTGTGGAAACGAGTTGGTCAGGATTTATTTTATTGCACATGTGAAGAACCTACATCTAATTAGGTTAAACGAAATGATTTTTTTGGCTCATATGACTGGAAATTTATAAGGTAGATCTTGTTTCAATCATACCTAGGAACCCAGAAACTCACGAGATTTTGTCAGAGTTCTCTCTCTCTCCCCACTTCTCAGCTCCACTTGTCTCTGGCTCAGCTTTATTCTGAGGCCCTCTTTCCACCATTGGTAGTTCTAAGCCTACATTCCTGGGCTATGATCCATAGAAAGACAAGTCCTGTCTCTTCTAGATCCCGTGTATATAAATCTCTGCGAAGGGCTCTGACTAGCCCTACTTGAAGGTCACTGAATCAGTTTCTATGTCCAACAGGAAGTGCTACTATGATAGTCTTAGACTGGATTCTGTGCCCAACCCTGTGTGTATGTGGTTCTGGTGGTGAGATAAGGACAAGGAGGCTGATAGGGTGCCATCATGGACAGTTCTGTTGGGGGTCACATAGAGGTGTGGTTCATCCAAGCAAGAGATGCTGCCAATCAAAAATTATATGTTTGTTACTGAAAATAATTGCTCCCTCTTTCTTTGGGACAGCCTCCCGGACAATGATGTGGAGTTTGCACAAGGAGGCAACTCAGGTGCCCAAGGCCATGCACATTACAGAAGTGGGACCTTCCTCCCAACCAAGGTGAAACCCAGTGATGGAAAAATGCTCTCATGTCTAGACTTCATGGAAACGAGAGTGGTTTCCAGAATATTATTGAATGAAGGAGCCCACTATTTACCCATATCTGAGTATTTTTAGCAGATACCTCTGCATTTTTTTTTATTCGTTTGTTTGCCTAAGGATTTCATTTCTAAAAGCCTTAGACATTAGTGATTGGGCATTGTAGAGCCAGTGAAAGTTTGAAGAGAAGTGAAGCAATGAATACAGAACTATTGTTTATGCAAATTCATTGAATTGACTGGATACAGGCCAAGGGAATAGCAAGCAAAGAATAAGATTATCACTTAGGAGACATAAAATGATAAATTACAAGTCAGATTATTGGCAATATGGATATGTGAGCAGTGTTAGGAAGATTGGTGAAATTCACAGGATGAAGAAGCATCTGTGTTGACAAAAGTATGTAGAAAGAAATGGATCAGAAAGGACCAGGCTAGGAAGATAGGTTGGGCCAGTGGGTGAAATGGCTGAATGTGGCGGACAGGTTAACAGTGACTGGATAACATAAAAAGGAGACCTGGGACACCATAAATCCTAGGGCATATGTAGAACTGATATTTATTGAGAACTTTCCTAATATTGCAGATTCCATGTTGCATGCTTTCAGTTCATTCTATGAGGAGATTCAAACCTTTGTGGGAAAAAGGAGTTAAAGTATGAGTTTATTTTGGTGCAGAAAAATCTTGAAATTCATGCATGGTCTTTTCATAATACACTTTTTCCATGAGCTTTGTGAAGGTCTTCATTATTATTATCCAGGTCAGATAGATGGAACAGATTAGAGGGTTGTTAGGGCAAAGGTGCAAAGCATCTCTGCTTGAAGGCAAGCTGACAGGAGTGCCAAGGTGAGACTTTAGGAGAGAATACCATATGCAGATTCTAGGTTTGGGGTCTAGCAAGGAAAGGGGATGGAAACAGAATCAGAAAGCTGAACAGGTGAGCAGATCAATACAGCAACTAGGGCTGTTTGTTGATCTGAGAACAGGAACTCTACCATCTGTGTTGCCTTTAAATATTCTTCCTGCTACGAATCAATCCGAATATGGAATGGGCAGTCTCTGAGAGAGAAAGAGGACTCTATTTGTTATCAGGTACTATTAGGGCAAGAAGGACTGACATTTGTAGACCCTCTGCCATGTGCCTTAGATACATAAGCTCTCTAAATCTTCATTACAGTCACAAAAGGGTAAATATTATGTCCTTTTGAAGCTAGAAAATGGAGGCTAGGAGAGGTTAAATGACTTAGCTGAGCTCCTGGAGCCTGACTGGAGGGTGAAGGAGCTGGCACAGAATCTCAGATCTGTCTGAATCTAGACCTTATCCTGGATCTTCAGGGGAGCCACCCTGGTCCTAGCAGGGCAAGGGCAATTTCAAGTCTGAGTAATAGTAATAAGGAGGTCAGCAGGGCAGAGGGTTATGAAGGAAGACAGCAAGCTAACTTTCAGACATCGAGTGTGAGAAAAGAGCAGGCCATCGGAGGAGAGTTGTTGAGCAGGATGATATCTGGTTTTGGTGGAAAACTTAATAATCCGTTAGCTCCCTCACCCCGCTCAGTGCATGAGCTCTGTCATTATGCAGGATGGATAGATCAGCAAGTCAGATGTTTGGAGAGTTTAATTTTAGTTGCTGATTTCAGTTAAATAGAAGGACCTTTGCCAACTACCATGGCCTATTTTTACCTTTACGCATACAGGTACTTTGCTCTGAAATATGAAAAATAAGAAATGCATACATATGGGGAGGGAGAGAGAGAACTAGCAGGTGCTGACTTCAGTAGGTACGTAGAATACACTCTAGTTCTAAAAGTCTGTACTTCAAGATGCTCCAAATGAAACTATTAACTGATGTAATGTAAGTGATATTATGTCATTCTCCTACAAAAGAAAGGGCAAATTTATATCTGCTTAGACATATATTTATATACATACAATAGACTGTGTAGGAGTAGGCAGCTATTTCAAAAAGTTCATGGAAAATGTAATCAGAGTGCTATCTTTTATTTTGGTGCAGTTTATAAAAATTCATGCATAATTGCATAATGCACACTTCATGAACCTTTTTTTTTTCCCTAATCTGCTATGGAGTCCTTGTATTCACCAGGGAAAGGCAGAGAGAAAAAAAGTGAAAAAGCACCCCTTAGGGAGATGGACACATTTTTCAGGATTTTGGTCATGTGCCCAGTGTGCTTTTGAGCCACTGAGTCTGGAACCCCATGCAATGGGCATGTGGGATTCAGCTGCTTTACCCTCCATACCAGTGGTTGGTGCTTTATGAGTTTTTGAAGACACCAGTGTGTATGTGTGTATGTCCGATAGGAAAAAAGGAAATGAGCAGGCATATTAAAATTGATTATCTTTTGTGACCTCGTAGCTTATTCAGGGAGATAAAACAGCCATGCATACAATTTTAAAACAATACTGTCGTGTGATTTTAGAATTCAAAGTCTATTTCAGAGACTAATCAAGATCACGAAGTTAGCTAGAGTTATAAAATACTGGGTCATTAAAAAAGTCACGCATATTTTTCTCTGTTTTTCTATGCAAAATGTGTCGTGACTTTTCCGACCACTCCACTCAATACAAAATTTAACGGTAGCAGCTCAACATAATTTTTTAAGAAGTATTTTATTGATTTATTTGTCTATTTTTTAAATTTGATCAGAGAGAAACAGAGACAGATTGAGGGAGAGAGTGGGAAAGCAAGCTGCCAGGTCCAGGACTTGAACCTTGGTCTACCAAGTGGCAGTTCAGTGCCTTCAGCACCATGCCACCTCCCAGACCCCAAACATAAATATTATGGATACTAAAGGGAACAGAACCACCTAAAATGCAAAAGACCAATTAGGGAGAGCTTCCAGGAGAAGATGGGTTCTGGTGATTATGTATGGGTGAAGCAAAGGAAGGACATTGTATTGTAGGTAGAATATTTTCAGTGCTTCCAGCCAGAGAGCACCTGTAGCTGAACAAGCTGCAGTCACTTCTCATTACCCCAAGGGAAGATGTGCAGCATAGCGAAATGTGGGGTATCTCAATAAGAGAGTGTTAAAACTTCATTTTAGGATTTGGGCTTGTGTTCAGTGATTTGGAAAAGTTTAAAGAAACAGGGCTTTGCTGTGGATTGAAGCAGGGCTAATCCTATGACTTTGTCTCTTAATAAATGTTATCTGCAAGGAGGCAAAGACTTGAGGGCCTAATGTATAGTTGATAAAGAAGCACCAGTCACTCACACTAGCCATATTCAAGGGTTATTAAGTCATTTTGGGCTCAGACGATGTTTATACTTTTGTTCTCATTAGATTATGAGATCCTCGAGGATAGGGATTAAGTCTCATAATCTAATAAGAGAACTAGATACAAGAAAAATGACTGCAGTGCATTGAAATAAAGCTGGCAGAGAATGGAAAAGAATATTAGAGGCTCATGAAACAAAAGTAATTCTCAGAAGGAGCAGGCTCTTTTGCAAATGGTGAACTAGTCGCAGAGATACTGATGGGTTATTAGCTGCTGGGGTAATAAGAAAATACTTTTCTTTTGAGAATCAGTGTCTTTGGGCCAAAATACGGAATGAATCTGAAGGGTCTCTGTACAACTCTCTCTCTAAGATGACTTTGGCATAGGAGAGACACAGATTTTGGCTCCCACAATAAAGTGAGTGAGATCGGCTCAGTGAATGTGTGTGTACAAATATTCATAATGCATTAGAGTTACTTTGCATTTCTGAGGAGACATATTACTTCCAATCATAAGGACAGTGCATATTCCCAGTAAAAACTTGAGAAAATACATTGATTATAAAAAAAAATCAGGGAGAAAATTTGCCTGTATTCCTGACTCATAGGTGCCCTAATATGTTGGCATTTCTTCCTCATTTTTAATGATTTTTTTCCATAGTTAATGCCATACTTGTTGTGTTTGCTTAACCTTATGTCCTCAATATTTCTCGACTTCTAGGCAAACTTTATTAGTGTCTGTATAATATTAAATTACGTGGATCTATCTCAACTTATTAACTAGTCCCTTAAAATTGAACTTTTAGGCTGTTTCCAAGTATTTGGTATTATAGATGGCACTTGGATGAATAATTGTTAATATTTCATATCACTTTTTTGGACAAAATTTACAAATATTCTTTCTATTCCATATATATATGTATATATATATATATACATATATATACATATAGACACAAATATATATATATATGGAATACATATATATACATATAGACACAAATATATATATATATATATATTTGTGTCAGATGATTTCTTTAAGCAGGATCCATGGAAGGTAATTTCTTGGCCAAAAATCATGAATGTTTAAGACTCTTGATATTTAATGCCATGATGATTTTCAGAAAAAGGGAACTTGTGATTGGAACATGCATGAAGTACCCTTCACCATGCCCTCACCAGGTGTTTTTGTTATTTTACTTGTTTTAACTAAGAAAAGTTATCATTTCTTTTTCTAAGAGTTTTTTGCCTTAGGGCATGTACACTTACTGGAGAGAGAGAGAGAGACACAGACAGTGAGAGGGAAAATGAGAAATCACCGCCCACAGGGGATGGCCATGCTGTAATCCCTTCTCATCCGTTTTCCTCCTGGGGTCTTGGGCAAGCACGCACACACACACCTGGTGTGATTTTCAACCACCAGGTCTTGAGTCGTGGTTGGTCATGTGGGAGTCCAGTGACTTAACTGTTGTGCCATCTGCTGGCCCCCAAAAGTTATCATTTCAAAAGGAATAAGAGTTTATACTAACTGCTGCTCTTTGTTACCAAAAATTCTTCAAAAATGTAGATTAGTAACATGTTGTGATCCATCCATTAAAATAAATTATTTACAAGTGTTCTTGAACATGCACATAGGGGCCCTTTACAGTGAGAAAATTAGCTGTGAATGGTTTTCTGAAAAGCCTCATCCTATGGGGACTCTTTAAACTACAGCAGAGGACAAACCATG